GGGGGGACCGCAGGCAGGAGCGGAGGGGTCGTCCTTACTAACTCACCCACCAAGGACAAACCTCGACACAAAGCCCAGTGTGTGTACCGTCGTCCATCCCGGGCCCGTGACCTTTCACCTTTTATAGAACTGTTCACTTTGAACCAGTGTGTAGAGAAATGTGACTATCCCTGTTCCTCCTTCAGTTAGCTCTTGTTGGTGTACTTCAGTCCGGTGTTTGCACAGCGCGGCCTCGTTTAGAACAACCTGAGTGTGAGTTTCAGTCCTGGAGTGTTATTAAGGAGTGAATCAATAATTAAGGACTCATTAATACATAGTTTGGACTTTATTAAAGTCCCCATCAGTCAGTGTTTCTTTTAAAGTTCCTGTGAGCTCATTAAACATCTGATTCATCATCTGATCGATAGACAAATTAGTCTAGTTATAGGTAGGTAGGTAGTAAACAGGTTTCACTGAAATCAATTTTGGTGAGCTGAAATAAAAATCTAAAACTAACTAAAATGATAAAGTAAAAAAAAATACAGAGGAAATGTCAGCTTAAGGTGTTTGTATTATACGAGTTATTTCTGATTAAATACTAACTTTTATAATGAAAGAAACTAAAATGAACACTGAAACTAATAAAAATGAGTAAACTCTCTGAACTGAACTAAAAACTATTAAAAAAAACTAAATTTATTCTGTCCTGATCCACCAGTGCACACACACTGACACTGTACAGTGATCTGGAAGGAATCAACAGTCTTTTTACAGTAACACAGGATTTCTTAGTGATGAATGATGATGAAATAATCACCAGTTCTGTCATAACTCATCATTCTCTACTACATAATCTATATAGTCCTCCATTCACAGACCTATTAACGATTGATTATTGATCGGGTCCTCAGTGTTATCAGTGTTTCATGAACAGATCCACCTGGTGTTGTTTTTGTCATTAAAGGGATTTTCTTTACGTTATAATTCGTCTTTGACCAACTTTCAGTGTTTCCCTTCACTTCAAACCATTTTCTTGTTTCCGTCTGCAGGGCTTGAAATTTTACTCTTCTGTGACATTTTAATGAATGAAAGTTTTCTATTAATGGAGCGAAACTGATCGGTTTAATGGCAGTTTGGTGGTTTTAATGATGCAGCTGTTGCTCTCCAGATGCCATTAGACAGTTCAGTGAATCTGACTAAGCAAACTCCACAGGTTAAAGTTCAGGATAAAGATACTGACATGTTGTTGGCCCGAGGCCTCGGTTTGAACAGGTTTAATAACAGAAACTCAACTGAAGCCGCTCCTGTGAATATAAAAGAAAACAAAAGCAGAAAATCATTTTTGCTTTTTGCGGTCGGATTTTTTCTGTGTCACTCTAATTGGACTCGTTTGCCCGACTCTCACCTGTCAACCTGAGGAGATCAGGGGGGGCCGGTGATTGTAGCCGGAGCGAGCACTAACACAGCAGGTTATATAACCAACACACAACTAGCAGCGTAAAGTGTGTGTGTAACCTTAGCTGACACACAAAACCAGGCTGGAATAACAACTTAACAACTTGGTTCTATTTTGTTTCCCCATTTACAGACAACCATTGTGTATCAGCACACACACACACACACACACATTAGTTTAGTTTTAATGCATCTGAGGGGAATTATTGATTATTTTATTGCACCGGTCTGCAGAAATATTCCAGTAAAATAAAACATTTACACCACATTCAAAAAGCTGTAAAGGTTTTTCCCCAAAACTGCATGAGGTCAACATAAAGGGAGACTCCTGGGTTCCCATAGGACCCATTTTCATTCAGATATTTAGATATCTGGGGGTCAGAGGTCAATGGATCCTTTTAAAAATGCCAACACCAGTTTTTCCATCGCCAAAATGTAGCTTAATATTTAGCCTCCTTCCGGACATGCTAGCAGTGTATGTGTTAGGTCGTCTAGTTTCATATAAAACCAGTATTTCTCCCTCAGCTGGAGGAGTTTTTGTAAACGAGGCCTCTCGTCTGTGCAGATGTTTCAGTGTATTTATTATTTATGAGTTGTTTTTGTATTGTGCATGTGATGGTTTTCAAATGAAAGTTGTTGATAAAACCAAACATTGGCTCTGTGTGTCTTTATTGACTCCTTTTATATATTCAGAGCAGCTTTAAGTTTCTGCTGCTGCAGACGAGGAGACGCTCTCGTTGTTCGCCGACCACGTTCTTCACACATCGGTCGGCAGGTTGTTTTCTCTGACGGCTCGGTGATGAGTCAGGTTTAAATCCTTATAATTCTCAGAAATGTTGAAAGCTTTTAGGACGACATGTCGAACATTTTTTCATCAGCGTTGAGAATTATCGTGTCATTCTGTTTCCTTCTCGGCAGCGTTGTGATCTCCCTCTGATAAACCTGTTCCTCTGCCACTCCTCTTTAAATCTGTTAAAGCTCCCAAATGAACTGATAATAAGTCTAATAACAGTTTAATGTTTCATACAGTGTGTAGAGAGAAAAGGGAACTGTGCACGTTAATTAAACCTTGTAGGTTCGTTTATAAGCTGTTATTTCTGTGAGGTAGACAAGCTGTTGCCCTGACAACTGAAGAACATGTCATAAATCTCTATAATGTTTATTTTAGTCAGTTGATTTCACTCATGCTGTTTGTCTAAGGATAGGTCTGCTGGCATTCAATAGTTCTTATCGGACTCCTGAAAGGATCGAACAAACAGCTATTGGTGAAAGCCTGATTCATCAGTCAGAGCCTTGAACCATCAAAAGCTTCATAAAAGAGGCTAAATGTCTTAAAACTTTCACTTGGAAGAAGACTTTTTCTGTTAAAATAAAACAGCTTGCTCACAAATACGCTCGCACATAGACAACAACAGTTTATATCAGACATTATCTGTCCTTTAATAACCTTAAAATCAAGAAGGCTTCGCGCCCCCACATGAAGCTTTGGCGACCCTTACTGAGGGTCTCGACCCCCAGGTTGGGAACCCACTGCCCCAAGGCTCCTCCAGTCTTCTGTTTATTGCAGTGCATCAACAAAATACCCCCCCCCCCCCCCCCCACACACACACACACACACACACACACACACTCTCAAGAGATCATTATATTACATATGAAAAGGAAGTCACTGAAAGGAGCGTGAGTGAATAAATAACAACTTCAATCAGCCGTGAGCCCCTGAACGCATCGCCCTGAGGTGGAGGAGGTCGTTTCAGGTGCTAAAATAAACTGTTTGTACTCAGCGGATCAAATTAAAAAAGCAGCTTGACTGTCAACAGCGGCTCGTTCTGCTGGCTGAAGCACAAACCGCAGCAGCTGCAGGACGCCAGCACGAACACGCCAACCAACTCCACGCAGGATTTACAATGTCGCTGCACGACCGCATACAATCAGCGCGCAGTCACATGGATGTAAATATCAGACTGAGATTGTGTGAGCTTCACTGGTTGTTGATATCAGAGCTCAAACGATTAATCGATAACTGAACTGAAGATGCTCCGGTTATGTTATGCATTTATAGATAAGTTTAATATTTAATAAAATGATCCAAACTGAAGTTACAGTCCCCAGAGAATGAAAGTTTAATGAAACTCAAAACGTTCATGTTCCCTCAGGATGAACTGTGACCCTTTTCTCCATCTGGCAGGTCAACATTTGAATGTAGGACTTTCCCATCAGCCTCAGGGGCGCTTTGTGCTAATTAACAATGTTATTATTGTTACACACCGAACGAAGATGGTAAACAAGATAAACTCTGTTAGCATGCTGGTGTCATCAGATATTCTCGTTTTTATCTAAACCGTCCGATTTATTTAGGCGAGTTTCAGTAAGCTCTTTCTCTGGATGGTATTTTTGGCTTCCTCTGGAGTTTTTTTTGTCGTGTTGTTCCAGTGCAGAGTTTCCAGTATGAACTCTGCATGTTTTCATGGCTGCAGTCCAACCGTTGTCTCTTTTGGAGTAAAGCAGAGTTTTTGGTGAGCTGCTCACTGTTTACGGTCTCTAACTGGCTGAACCAGTTTGCAGTC